TGGTAAGCAGATCTACATGTGGAATCCTGCTAAAAGGATTTCAGGGGTTATATCGAAGACACACGCCAGTAAAACAAACAAAAAAGAAAACACAGCAAAAGTGACACAGTCCAAATGTTAGTCTCAACTAAACTTAGATGGTAGAAATTGATCTGATAATAATAAACAGATGCCGCACATTTTCAACTAGCACATCAGCGATGGAGGGGCGGATGTTGCCACCTGTGGCCGGATCAAAGCCTCCTCTGGTTGCATCACCGTCCAGGCACTGTGGTGTCAAAACAGAGCCGAGTGTAATGCGGCTAAAGCTGGTGCTCACAGCCCTGTTTGTTTACCGTCCCTGAGCAGGGACTCACGAAAGTGGGTTGACTGGGTCTGTAGCCGTGACCCCTGCAACAAGAACAACCCCAGTTCATATAATCACTGTCTTTCTTCCCCTCATGTACACACACACACACATAGAGAGAGAGAGCTTGGCCCAGTTCTTTTGCTTCAGGATGGGAGTCACGGGACTGTGCTTTGAAGAAGCGCACAGCATGGACGTACGCGGACCAATGAGGGCAAAGACAGTGTTCTCTGTGTGAGTAATGATTGACAGCATGTTGGATTACTCACAGAGGCATTAGTCATGGTAAATTTGTTACATGTTCTTGTTCTCTCTTCTGTTAGTGTGAATAGGTCTGTGTGTCTTTCAAGTTCACGGATTCGGTCGTGTGCTGGTGCCAAACCTGGCGTTCTTTCAATAAGTTTGACAAGAACAGCATCTAGAGCCTCTTTAGTTTCACATATTCAGGAATAATCACCGTGAATAAGTCCATGTGGCGAAAGAAAACAAAGCTCACTGTCATGCCGTGCACAACTTTGTAAAAGATTTTATATGCACGCAAGCAAAAAGAATTAAAAATAAATAAATAAATAACAGCAAGAGATTTTTCACGGGTGACTAAAATCCAACAACAACACAGGAAAAATCTGGTCATTAGTGACACAATTTGGAAAATCGCTGAACGTGCTTGTGTTCAAGCCCGGGACTCTGTACAAAGTGTTTCATACCAGCAAAAGCAAACATGTTTCTGCTGGGAGGAAAAGCTTACACAATGAAGTATCGCAGCCACACGCAATACTGTACAAGCATTCTGGGGCACCATCAGGGGTTCCAACCTTTTCTAACAGCGTGAGGGCAAAGCGGCTCCGTCATTGGCTAATCTTTGGCGAGAGAGAGCCAGTCAGCTCTGTGCTCTCCTCTCATCCCACAACTTATCCAAACACTGTGCTGTTAGCGTCTCTGATATGCTTTGTTTATCAGGCCACCTGGACATGCATCTGGTCAGTCAGGGAGTATGCCTGTCAATAGCAGCGCCAGATGGATGTGCATTAATAACTCGGTCTTATGTGTCAAAATCACGAGCGGCGAACGCTGACTTCTGAGGCGGTTTATAAGTTTCCAAAGCTGTGCTGTGTTGAGCGGAGTGAATGAAATGCTGATTAGGGTGATGGGAACAGCAGACAATCAGAAAAGAAAATTAATTAGTGTGCACTCAGGTTTCAGGTCAGTACTTCACAGTGCTCCCCTTCCTGTGCTAATAGACAAATTACATAATAGGCTCCAATGAGAGAGAGATTTGACATAAGGTAACCTTTTCCAAATAACAAAAAGGATGATGAGAAATAATTAGAAGTAGTATTGATATGATAGAGGAGATATTTCAGGTTCATAATAAGATGGATGACCATAGCCTTCGCTTGAAGCAGCGAGGACACAATACATGGAGAGCGAGTTACATAACTAACATCTTTAATCTAATGGGCTTAATAGGAGATGTTAGGAGTGAGGAGGGATGAGAGGCTCAATTCAAACCAATCATTTTGCTGACGTGAGGAAATCGAGAAGCAAAACCATTTTCCAAGTATTGAGCAAGACCATGTTACTCATAATGACCGATAAATTAGTTTTGAGGGGATAAACAATTCCCTTCCTCAAGCAGAAAGTTTGTGTTCAATGTTTAACCAGAGAGGAGGCCGTGACGCAACCGTCGGTAATCTGCAAGTACAGCACAGTTTGTGAAATGAAGAGCCTAATCAAAACAGATAATTCATTAACATCGTACACTGTAAAGTCTGCTTACTTGGTAGTTTGCCGTAACAAAGTCCATTATTTCATCATTGATTTCCTAACAACTTCCTGTTGGACACGACGTTATCTGTGTGGGAAGATTAGAGGTGCAAAGCAGAAGAAGGCGTTTTTCCTGTACCTTGGTGGCACTGCTCAGAACCATGTCAGCAGTGATAAAGTCTGCTCTTTATCATGTAAGTCCATCTGAGGTAACCAGTAGGTCCTCTATAAAAAAGAAAAAAGCAGCTTTAATATGAGAGCCTGACCGATATATCGGTTAACTGACTGACATTCTCACGTCACAGATATATCTGTAAGAGTGTCGATCAGATCAACATACACAAAACAAACTTTTACAAAACTTAATGCAGAAAAAAATAGACTTTTAGAAACATGTCATCACATTGTTTGTCCAGCAGAGACAATTTACTCAATTTTTACAGTAGTCTCAGTACTGTTTGCAGCACATGTAGCAGAGTACGTATCATGGCTGAGCAGACGGTGCTGGAGGGTTGAGCAGTGTCTTCATGGTAAGTCGCTGCATAGTTTGTAAAAATGCACTGCTGGAACGATCATGAACAATAAGCCTTTTCAAAACAACTCTACTATAATGTATATAAAAATTTGTATCGGCCCACAAAATCGTATATCAGTCAGGTTCTATTTAATTTTGCTATGAAAGGAGGTGCAGTTATAGAAAACAGAAGTTAGCTGCAGTGGCAGTTGACCTGGAATCTCCACAGATATGTTATGTAACCCGAATTAACAACGTGACGTCAGCATTTAATGTATCATGAAGCAGTTTTCTACATGTATGCAGACGATACTGTTTTATATGTACCTGTTAGACAGAACATCTCCTAAGTTTCTCTATAAGAGTGTGCTTGCTATGGTTGCCAGAAGCCAATCAGTCGAAAATTAAAAGTTTGCTGACAGTCAAACTAGCTTGGAATGAATATTTGTATGTTGTGTTTTTGCCCGACACTTGACAACTTTAGTTGTTAGAGACTTGAATACTTGACCCATAACACTTCCACCATCGTTTCTCATTGCAATGACATACAGTTAACATACAACTTCATGAATTCACCGCAGTTTCTATGATTTGAATAAACTAATTATGCAAACCAAAATTTTCATTTAATGCTACAAAGGTGTCACGACAAAGCGATTTTAGATAGAAATTATTATAAATGTCTTCATAGATTTGTTAAATATATAGACAGTGATGTATATATATATATTACTCACGTGATGAAACCTTTACACGATGTGCATGTACAGAAAATACAATTAATTTGAATCTGCATGTGTAGACGATACACAGACGGTACACATGTTTACAGACAACATAATCTGTGAGCCATAGACACAAAATTATTTGTTTTACTGCAGGGACTGATATTATAACTAGTTATAATAAACTAACTGCAGCCTTTCTCCTTAATTTAACTTAACTAATTTCTTTTTAAATGCAGGACAAAACCATCACTCCTACAAGTTACTACGTCATACTTTGAGCAGATGATTCATTTTCATGTGAGGAAGCAACATGTGTAATTTCTAAGCATAGCCATGCAGTAAGACGTGATTTCCAAAGTGGCTAGAAAATTTCTCAGTTCCTTTCAAAGTCTCTGAGGCAACAGATAAGACTAAAGTTGTCATCTGTAGTTCCACATTTATCACCAGCCACTGGGGCAAGAGGAAGAAAAAAGAAAACTCAGTACTGCTGGTATTATCCTTTAACCCAGATTCCTGCTGGTTTCATGCTTCAGCGGGCAAAAGCTTGGTAACTGTTGTCATATGGAGCGGATGATGGGATGAATGTTTGCCACTGTGCTCACCACTACCTGCCTCTAAGTGGTGACTCCATCACCTGTCACATCTGTTAACTCCTTAATACAGCCACTGGAAGGACAAGGCTCTCACATGCTGAGCAGTGCAGGCCCACATGTATTCGCAAACAACCCGATGTGCAGCTGAGTAAGTGAAGGCGTGCACTGTGTGTATTGTTACACATGAACAATGTGTTGTTATTCAATAATCCTGCCTCCTTAGCATCATCCCACTTTCTGCCAAAGATTGCTGAGTAAAACCACTCAAGACCCAGTTTGTATCCGACCGTAGCCAAGCAGAAGTAGAAAAGAGAGCCGGTCTATTTAAAGGACTTAAGAACGCCGTCCAGATGCTGAACTTTGTGGTATTCCATTTATTCCCAGTACTCAATGTCCTGGCCAATGATATCTGAGTAACATCCGGTGAGCTGGGGAAATCCTGGGACTCAGTGCTGGCAGTTCTGCCAAGATCAGGCTCGCTGCCATGAACCTTGATGTCAGATAGCAGAAATGAAAAGCTGCCTCTCAGTCCAGAGACCATAACGACGCGCTGGATCAATATTCACTTATCTTTACAGTTTTACTGGCGTTTTATTGGGGATTATGTTGGCTGGGCGGTATCAGATTTTCAGTGATATGATATTATATGTCAGCATGTCACAGATGTCCACTGCTGTGTGGCTTCAGCGAGATATATGGAAGACACTAACTGTTCTGTGTGGGCATTTAGAAATAACGTGAGTACAATCCCTTTTGGCATGTGGTTTGGTTCTCCTAAGATTAAAAAAAAAAAAGGTTTGGGTTTTGTAGACATAGTTGCATCTTCATTGTTCAAAAGCTAAATATTGTCTTGCAAAGCCCAAGCCTTTTATTTATACCTTTAATTTAAGGAAAAACATTTCTGCTTTCCGACATACTAAATCGTGTTTTAAATGTCATCTGTCTAACGCTACAACTTACGGTAAACAACTAAACCCATTCTTATTAAAGTCTCACATTCACATTGTCGTCCACGTGGTAGACATTGTTACAAAAAAAGCCGACTGTGATGGTAAGACTGATTTTCCATTTTATCCCTACAACCCAAAACAGTTGGATAAAAATAAACATGACGTTTGTACTGAAGCCTCTGAGGTTCCCCTTGGCATTGTCGCACAACTTTTCCCAACCACTTTTAAAAATAAGACAAGCCTCTTAAATCCTGCGTTTCCTTTTGTTTTATATAATATTCAATTTTTTCAATAAAAAGACTTTGTTTTCTATAATTACGGAACCCAAAAGGGTTGCATTGTGTAAAAACAAATGGAAACAAAGAGACATGTATGCGTTACAGAGAGAAATAAATGCAAACGCCTGCAGCAGTGAAAGTAAGTGCATCACATACATGTAATGTTTTTTCCCCCTGGCACACACACGGCTCTATATACACCCACATCCCACATTTCCCAGAGAGAACCCCACCTTTACATCAACTTTCATATACATTTGTGTTATTATACTGTACAAATTACATGGCTCTTTAAATAACCTGCAGCCAGTCCTCCGCTGGGGCTCGCCTGCTGCCTTTGAGATCAGCGAGGTGGCACAAAAGTGTCTCTCAGGAAAGCAAGGTCTGAACCTGCTGAGGGGATCTGGGTAGCAGGTTTTCAGGGTCCTTGTAGGCGTTTGTTGGGCTGGTCAGAGCCGTGTAAACCTCCCCGTAGGCTCTGCACACCAACTCTGTCGACTGACGGAAAATCTGCTCCCTGCACAAACACACAAAAACGCTTTAAAAACGTACGCTCGCTAAACAAAGCCGGAGTGATGAGTGATTCACAAAAAAAATCAGACAAGTAGTGCTGTTTTGTAATTAATCACTAATCAAGAGCTAAAATGCCTTGAGTGAGAATTCACTTCTTTTTGCTCAGTGACCACTGTGTGCCCCTGCTGTATGAAAACAAAGAGTGACAGTATGTGGTGCACACTGCCATCTATGGATGCATATTACAGCACTGAGGCACAAGAAGCAGGAGACTTTCACAGTAACACACATTGACATAGCAAAACAATATCCAACAAATGAGAGATTTTTTTTTGACAACTCTTAAACTATCTTAAAACAAATGTCTGTGCATACTGAATTGCATGGGTTTCTGTCGTAGGTTTTTCTGTAGCTTTCTTTTAGAGCAGCAACAATTCACAGGTTCATAGACTAGTTAATTGGAAGAAAACAAATTGGCTGCTAATTTGTTAATTGTTCGAGTGATGTGACACATTTGGTGGTTTCAAGCTCTCATGTGATAATTTGCTGCTATGCTTGGTCTTACAATTTAGTAAATAAAATAACTGGGATTTTAGAAGGTTGGTTAAACAGAAAACGATGTCTGAAGATGTAACTTTAAGCTTTAGGATAGTGTGATGATCCCCTTTTTATGTGACATTTTTAGATCAAACTATTAGCTGATTAAATCAAGAAAATGCTCACATTTTCATTTCAAAGCAACATTATTTTATTGTACCCACCCACCCTTGTTTACATGGATTTCTTGTTTATTTTAATGCCTGGTACCACTATATTACCTGAAGGATACAATGAACACAACAACAAATGCAGCTGATTACATAATACTTTATGTCCTATTTGATATGCTGAAGCTTAATTGTATTTGTGTGAAGGGCGAATGAAGCAGGTCATGTATAGGGCTACTCTTGAAAACGGTCTTCTTCCATCAGCTTGAAACCTCTTCCCTGCCTTGAATGACTGGATTTTCCAACAAGACAATGCCCCTTGCCACACAGCGAGGTCAGTTAAAGCCTGGATGGAGAACCAGAACATTGGAACCATGCCATGGCCTGCTCAATCACCAGATCTCAATCCAATTGAAAACCTGTGGAAAATCATCAACGCAAAATGGAGAACCACAAGACCAAAAGCAAATTTGTTTGAATTTGTGCAACAGGAATGGGCCGCTGTGACAGCAGAACAATGTCAGAAGCTGGCGGAGAGCGTGCCAAGACGCATGGCAGCCGTCATCAAAAACAATGGTCATGCCATCAAGTACTAACTCCTGTGTGTATCATGTGAGTAAAACAGGCAGAAAAGAAAACATGGATGCCTAAAAGCACTGTTTTTGTCAGTGCAACGCCATAGCTACTAATGTGAGAACTTAAGTGATTTTGGTTATTATCAAAAAAACCACGGAAAATGGCGAGATATCAGGTCTTAAATGAAAATCTTATGAGCTATTTTTGTTGTAATCATTATATTTGTCCAAACAAATGTACATTTAGTTCAACCAGGCATTAAAATGAACAAGAAATTGAAGAAGAAAGTCTAAAAAAAAATTTCTATGTCTGTATGTATAGATAGATATATATATAATACGAGTGAAATTAAGAACATAATGTGAGTATTTCCTGCAGTGGAGTACAACTGGAGGGTGCATCACTTGGACTGAAGAGCCCAGTGAGAGGCCTCGAGGACACAGTGGGAGCACCTCGGTTGTATCCCACTCAGGCTCTTGAGAATCCATATTTTTAATTGGCCCGCAGAGAACATGGTACCTCGATGCTGTGTATAACACCTTACTCCACACCAAGTGCACTAACACGAAATGTGAAACGAAGGGAGTCTAAAATCGCATTCCCATTACTTGTGTGCACCAGGAGTGTTTTCAGAGTGCTGGAGGGTGTTTTTTGTGTATTTAGGTGAGCAGAGAAGCAGACGTGAGAGACAGCGAGAGAGAGAGAGGAGGGGGGAGAGAGAGAGAGAGAGACAGAGAGGAGGAATGATTTCAGGGAACGAGTGTGAGTGAGAAATGGACCAGAAGCTAATTAATGGCGTCCTGCCCATCAGTCCTCCCATGTCCATTAATAGAGAACATTAACCTGAGGTACAAAGTGCTCCTCAAGCCTGCTGCACTTCCCAGTAAACGTAACTCATAGAAAGAGCCCTCCAACGTAGCAGCTGGATTGAGCTAAAAGCATGTGCATTTTCTGATCAGTAAGACAAATACAGGCAGTCCTGCCGACCGTGCTCTCGATGTGTTGGTGGGCTCGGCAATTTAGCGTCCAAACTCCCCGTGCATTTAGTGGAGTGTTTTGTTTAGAATGCAGTAATGACCGCATTACATCTGGGAGACTAATAAATGTTGGACATTATTGGGTTGACGCTCTTGTTCTATTTTTATTCGCTGTGAACACGCTCTTAACCCCATTATTACACCACATGATAAAGCAAACATCTAACTACAAGTCTGAATATTGCATGTATGCAGTTCTTCATGGAGAACACCACAATCAGCATCAGGGACTCACTTGATGGCTGCACTCAGCAGGAAGTTGAGCTGCGGCATCACAAGCGTGTCGGGCGACGACAGGTATCGATCAAACTGGACCTGTTGTTTGTGTGCGAAAGACGGCGGCAGCATTAATCAGGTATCTGCAGATAAATTAGCTCTATTAATAGATGCACCGCAACTCACCATCGCTGCTTTCACAGAAGAGCTGTCCATGCTGGGGAGGAGGGACAGAGGACCCTGAGACAAGAAAACAGAACGTCAGCTTGGAATACAACTCAAGGCCACAGTGTCTAAACAGCACTGACGCTGAATGTCAGAGCAGAAAAAAGTAGCTGAGGTTCATTCATGTCTGCATGCAGCACTGAAAAGTAGATTTGTGCTATTTGTCTATGTTGCCGCAAGCAGCTGCAAAAAAGTAGATGGAGGTCAAACTGATGTCTGATTGAATGCTGCTACCTCTGAACAAAACTTAAAAGGTTTTTTTTTTTTTTTTTTTTAAAGGGCATCCTAATTGTGTATGTCTCTCTTACTTCCTCCAGTCCTTCAAGGCAAACAACTGATTTACACTGTAGCTATACGATATAATCTAAGCTCTGTATCATAATAAAACGTCACATTTATCTAATTTACTACAACTATCTCATGCTGGCCTATTTTTAAATGACTGATTGGGTTGTTGTGGCTTTTCTTGGTTTAAAATAAGATTCAGACAAGTCATGTCCTGAAAATGGAGCAAATGTAAGTAAGCAAGACCTAAATTTGATAAGTCTGGTTCATCATTCGGTGCTAAATCAAAGCACTGCAGAGATTTATTGGCAAAAAGGCACCGATCAATATGATTCATGCTTTTTTTTTTTTTTACAACTGAGCTTGTGTGTTTCAATTTGTGAATAAGAGAAATCTCCTCCCTAAATCCTGACGTTAACTTGGCAGAGTAAATACACATCTGACTTTGTGTACACAACAGCATGTACCTCTAAGGCAATTAGCTGTCACTGATTATCCAGAATGGCAACATTAAGACAAGCTTAAATGCCTAAATTGCCAACATTAAAACCGGCAAATAGAAGGCAGTGCAAGGTTCAAAGCAGCAGTGCAGCACCTTGAGTGGTTTTATAGGGATATGGGCACATTAACAAACATACTATGAGCCAACAAACTCATCTGCAGGTTACTAACCCTGTTAACGGTATCGTTTTAATGCCCGTTGTCTTGCTCATCTAATGTGTCACAGAAACCTACTGCATGAACTGTTACAGAGATTGTGGAAGTAAACCGAAAAAAAGTCTACTCCAGAATTTTTGTCAGTTGCTGACATCTGGGATGTCGTCAAGCGTCGAGGGATCGACTTAATCTTTTCAAATAGACGACCATTTAAAGAAAAACCCAAGACAGGCCACCCGGGGAGAGAGGCAGTCTGCAGAAAAATGACAGTTTGTGATTGAGCTTTGCGTTGAGCTGCAGCAGCAGCAGCAGCAGCAGGGTGTGGTGTGTCCTGACATGAACCAGAGTCAAGACTCGCATGCTAAACCACAACTATGGGTCTCAGTTAGCCCAGTGGCAAAGTGTGTTATAAAGAGGGAGGAAGGCTCTAGGGCATCAGCTCTTATCTGCACAGGACAATTCTGCTGAAGCCAATATATTTTAATAGAGCATGATACAATCTGTCTTTCTCTGTCCCTTTCTCATCTGAAAATCTGATAGAAATGCTATTATGCCCTAACAAAGACATTGGTCATGTGGTAACCATAGCAATAGTAAAGCCTACAAATACTGGTCAAAGCCAAAGAGGTAGTGTAAACAATACTGTTAGGGCCGGTGTGGTATAAAAACACCATTAACAGGAGAGATGTGAGGAAAAAAAATAGTCCGCAGTTCTATAACTTCATGAGTGAGTGCATGCAAACATGTGTTTCAATTGCTCCATTTGAGACCTGCTCAGCGCCGTGCTGCTGGACACAGCTGTATATGTAACTCAGCCCGGCTCTGGTCAGCACGTAGGACGCCTGCTCGTTGATTAGGGTGTCAAGGTGAGCCTCGATCTGAAAAATGTGGGAGAGAGAGGCTTAAAATGGAGTCCAAGCCTGCATTGTGAACCAGTGGTACTTGTGGCTAATGGAGGATCACTGTGCTATTGATACTGAAACTTCTACAGGAGCTCTTGTGGTGCTCAATTACAAAAGACACGCTAAAAATAGGAGGGATGGATGCAGCATTAGAGCATGAACAACAATACATGACGCACACCCTTTTGATTACGGAGCAAATTAAATCTTTTTAATAAAAGATTTGGGCTCTATGGGTTTTAATAGAAGGGGCAAGAACAATGAACTATTTTGAATGAAAAATCTGGACAATGTGACGACTAAGTTGAGCCTTTATGTTTCGTCTTTCATAATCTAATTTGCCCTTGTTCTACTAAAGTGCAGTCGATTATTAGATTAATAGCTTGGACTATTACCTAAATGTAAGCAGATATCTACAATTACAAAAAAGAATGTCTAATTTACTTTTAATTTGTTGATAATTATGCACAATTAGGTCAGACCTGGAACTCGAGCATCTCAAGCCTCTTGTCAGTGAACTCAAAGAGCGCCAGCGTGGTTTTCATGACATACAGCGAGTTGACCATGTAGGTCGCCATGTCAGCTGTGCCGAGGTTACTGGCTGACACAGTACACAGCTGTAGGAGGGGATCCAAGATGCAAGATAGAACCTGGGAGAGACAAAGACAGAGCCTTAAGCGATGAGAGAAATGGCACCGGGTTTTATGAACAGACAGAAACATTCTGAGTGTTTCTCATCATCTATTATTTGATAGAAAATGTGTGTTTACCTGAGCAAAGTCAGCCTGGCGGGCATCCAGAGGAACTACGGAGGAGTCGTGGGAGGCCAGCACCTCCCTGAGGAGGGACAGCGTCTGAGTGAGGGAGGCTGTAGGTCCCAGATCTGCAGGTGGCAGCTCCACCTGCCAGGCAGACAAGGCCAAAAGACAAGATATAGGAGGAGGAGGCGCAAACAAGGAAAGTTTTGCAGAAGTTAGTTGTGTGTGACAAAGATAAGTAGTCCTCGTAGCGTCATCAAAGCAAACATCTCTAATGAGCAGCATGACGAACCAAATCCTCAGCTACTCCCTGCTGTTACTCTGAGCCTCAGTCAGGAGCTTTTGTAATGAAGAGGGTTTTGATTTCATTGGCCTCTGGACACACAATGCAGAACTGAGCATGGACACCTTTGTCCACCTAATAGAGCAAATTATGAGAAAGCTGTGTTCCTGACATTAGCTGGAATTGACACCAAAACCCTGAGGGCCTCCAATCTGATTAACACTGAGCTACAGGGATAATTCTTGTAACTGCTATTGATCGGGACACAGCTAGCCTGTAATGTGGAAGAGCTCGTGCTCGTGCTGATGTATATTTGGATGCCAATTTAACTAAATGGTAACAAGTCTGCTGTTTCTTGGCAGCTAGCGCCATTTTGATGCTGTGGCCAACAGGCCAAAACTGTTTACAAGCACAAGGGCTTCAGAAATAGCCTTGTTGTCTTTGAGGGTTTAGACGTAGCACTGAAATACACAATGTGTGTCCACAGGGAGCAACGGAGAACTACGCTGCACTGTCATTTAAGCATTTTTATGAAAGAACATTGCGAACCGTCCCTACTTTAAAAACAGGCCTCCTTTCTTTTATCGCCTTCTTCAGACAAGAATGTTGTTTTTAGCGCTCACTTTCTCACATTTGCACAAGAAAAAAACAATATTGTGAAGTTTTTAAATGAAAATCCTCCTCGTCGCACCGCACCTTGTCCATGAGTCGACTTGCATGAAGGCTCAGGCTGTTGAAGAACATCTTTTTGCTGAGGAAGTGCATTTCCTCAATAGTGATGAGCAAAGAGGCGGCACTGGTCCCAATAATGGAGCTGGACAAAGATCAAACGGGCAGGTAAGTCAACTGGGCCACGTTCATCATTACTTGATCAGTTATCTTTTCCTTTACAATCCAACAAGAAATGCATAAAACCTAAACATTTTAACAAAAAGTTTATATTAGTTTATTGAAGCAGCAGAATCCAAAATGTGCAAAGACAGAACGAAACATAAAAGAACGACAAACAGCTTAAGTGATTATTTAATCCTCACAATTGAAATTGTTGCCTAATAACTTTCTGACACCGAAAAACCGGTAAGAAAGGCAAGTAATTAAAAAGAAAACTAACAAAAAACCAAAACAACACCACATTTATCAGAGCCAGAAACTGTAAAAACAGACTTTTAACTTCAACGTCCTTGAACTAATCATCACAGGTGATTAGAAAATTAACCAGATCCAAGATTAAAATCACAATATTTTATCAAAATTATACAATTCTACATCTTGACATTCACATTACCATGATACTATAATAAAAAATTCACTCCTTGTCATAACAATGATGCCATTGATGACTCAGTGAACAGTTGACAAAGATTCAGGGACTTCTCAGCTGAACTGCAGGCTGTGTTTATCCAGAGCAGAGACCATGGAAACAAAACAATGTGCAAGCAGTAAAATATCTACAGTATGTGAATGGGTTTTTTTTATGATTTATGGCATTATACTTTATTATACTCCACAAAATACATTTTGAATTTCTTCCTCTAGCCAAGGTTTTGCTGTTTCCCAAGAGGTGCAGGACTTTAATGCAGTGAAAAATAAATACACAGCAAGAAAAAATGTGACAGCAGCAATAAACGCCCAGAAACTGCTCATGGCTCAGACGGTTCAGTTGTTGTTGATGATTAAACAATCAGTCATGTTAGGTCTAAAGTCTCTGTAGAGTTATCATAGGGAGTGAAATCTGAAATACCTGACGGTGTGGTGGTAGAACTTCAGCAGGTTGGACAGCTTGTACAGCAGGACAGCACCCGGCTCTGCCACGATGACCTGTTCTATCCGAACCTGAGGAACAGATAAAACACAGCGAGTGAGTGCACAAGCAAAACACAACAGAGATGTTGGTAGTTTTTTTTTAAACAAATTTGGTTTCTCACTTTCAGCGGCCTGCAGACTCCCTCTGTGATGTGTCCGACCACCTCCTGCATGTTCTCCTCCACACCTAACGTAAGGAGAACGAACACACAGCAGAGCAAAGTCATTTTTGGGTCACACATAAATCTCCAGTAACAAATTCACTGACTAGAAAATAAAGACACACTGTTCCTAATTCATTCTTGTTGGATGATGACAGTAAAGTTTAGATACCACAATGTAACCATACAGATATATCGCTAACATGCAGGGATTATCCGTCACTCTTCACATGAGATAATGGACACCACTGTGTAATGCATCACACCTTGTAGAGTGACTTGTCTCAGCAGTGCTTCCAGGTGCTCCTTCTCTGAGGCAGTGGCTTGGTGCAGCCAGGCCAGCATGTCCCCAACATACCTGAGAGAGCAGCAAAACAGCCTGTATGAAACAGTTTGTCATCACAGGGCCGAGCCGAGGGGGCTAATCTTACCATGCTGCGACCACAGCGACATCGAGGCATGGGCCATTGTGCTTAATTCCCCTCACACACCAACACACGCAGGACTTTTGGCATTACATAACAGTGGAAAACAGCAAGGTTGAACTTAAATTATTGTGTGCGAGTGTCTGTGTGTGTGTGTGTGTGTGTGAGGGTGTGTTTGTGAGTGAGTGCGAGGACACAGTGAGGTGAGAAAGAACTTGATGTTCTCAGAACTGCTGATGCCTTCCATAAAGTGGAGGTGATTTTGTGTTAAACACATGGCTGGTATTCTGAGAAAAATCTCCCATCTGGCTCCTGGGCACAGGAGAAGGAGGGAAGAGAACGCGGTACAACAGGAAACAGAGGCAACAACCGGACACTCTGTGATAAGTAGACATTTAACGTCTTCCTGAATTGGATTTTAAAGTTAAAACTCCGGGGTGACAGGAACAAAATCGGATCTATTTATACATCAGGGACAAGCACAATCATAGATAGAGGAGATGTAATTTAGCATGCACATATCTTTGGTACCTATTAGTTGTGTTTTTGAGGAACAGCAGTGCATTTCCTGCCACGACTAGAATGATACAAACCAAATGCATCTGTGTAAACTGAAGGTCTGATAAGTAGTTCCTTTATTTGAGGCAAACGCTTTCTCGTGATCACAAAATGGGATTTTATTCAGAAATGTTTTCTCATGAGCAAGCAAAATTCTAGGAACTGCAAAACAGCCTGGCACTTCTTCTTTTTCTCTTTGTTTATTTGTATTTTTTTTAAACAATATATACCATATTTTGCCAACATTTTTGCAGCATTATATAGATGTCCATCTTGCAGTTACATCAGGGAGCATGACAACAGGCCCACACATACTGTCAGAGTGATGAAGCACCAACTCCAGTGACAAGAACAACAAGGAGTTCTGCAGCAGATGGAATGATCCCCCAAAGAACCTTCAACATCATCAGTCAGACGCTGAGACAGACTAAATCCACAGAACTGAAGCAAGGTCTCTGAGATGCTTGGAACAACCTCGCTGCCAAATACTGTGAAAAATGTGCGCAAGTGTACCGAGGAGAATTTGTTTTAAAAGCCAATGTTGGTCCCAACAAATACAGATTTTTATCTTGAAGTATATATATTTTTAAAGTATTCGTTTTAGTGCCTTAAACATTTACACAGTGCTGTATATTATGTATTCGCTTGCTTTAGCTGTGCACACATGTAAAGAGGAAACAAGTCTAAGATTTGATATAATTTCTTCATTAAAATTAAAATAATGACTCTATAATTACTAATACTTGTGGTTAGCTATTTTTAACAGGGAGCTTTAGTTTCATTTTACAGCCATCAGTTAATTGAGCTAAGTTATATTGACCTAGTTATTCAGCTCTCATTCAAACCTAATGCACAGACAAAATGAGTTTCTCCAGCTCTAAATACGTCCAAGGACAGCTACAAGTTTTGTTTCGGTACTGCATGATTCAGCCCTTGCATGAGATCCAAGAATAGAGGAATTGCGCTACAATGGGGTTGGAGATGTACCTCATAGGGTCGTGTGAATGCATCTCTATGGGGCGGGGAGTTCCTCCCGGCCCACCGCGGGTGAGGGCGTCGATGAAGCCTCGCACCACGGCACACCTGCGTGCCGTCCCAAACTCATCCAGGGTGTACCTGACCAAACAAAGGAGAAACACGGCAACGTTCAACACCCAAACCTCATGTGAAAAGCCAGCAGCTACAGCGCTGTTGTGTCGACTGTGTGTTGTGGTCAGTTGCTATGATCAACACTGTAGGCAGCTTTTCCAAATGGAAAGAGTCTGAGGTTGTTCTGATGACTTGGCGGTGGCAGGCTCAGTGACAGACTAAACAAAAGATATTGTGCTGAATTAAGATTCCAAGAACGCTGGTATCCACTCCGCTCAGCCTCAACATACCCAGCCGGAGCCAGAACACGACCTTGGACGCTTTGTCGGCGCCGAGACAGGTGCATTTCTGAGAACGCGGGGCAGACGGAGGGAGGGTCTGCCGTGAAAACGTATTAACTTGTGAAACTTTCACTTGTGTTGGAGTCCATTATTTGTTCTATTTTGGAATAAATTAACCTTCTCCTGTACGAGAAGCTTCACACTACCGACACAGACACTGACACATTCAGTGCTTTTGAAATTGTGTTTATCCATTTTCTTTGTATTTCCTGTTTCAGCCAGTACCTCAAAATAACTGTGAGTAATGGGCATTAGTGTTATTGACTCATACTGTCTAGATCATCAAGTATTTGGGCAGCTACATTAGCTATTGCTCTTCAGCCTTTGTGTTTCAAGACATTCAAATTGAAATGAAACAACCAGTGTCCATAAAAATAGGAAATTTCATCTTTGTAGGAGACTGTTCAAAGTCTAGAGGTCCATATGCACATAAAGTAGATAACTCTTTCATCCTATCATTCAATATTTTGTCAAAAATTCTTTGCAGCCAACAAAGTCTCTGATCCGTAGACATCACCAGTATTTGTCGTGTGTGTGTATTTGGCTGAATCTGAGCACACAGAATGCTCCTGTTGCACCCATCCTGCGGTTTCTGTCAGCAGCGAAATCATCAATAAATCCCTCTGTGCCAGTTCTATTGGCAGTCTTACAGATGAAAACGTGTAAACGTCTAGAAGTGTTGACAGTCTCGACTGTACGCACTTCAGGCGTCTGAAAGCACTTCAACATTTTTAAGACTCGGTAGCACATAATGAGAAAGCGTGTCATGATTCTCAGATGGATTTAAACTGTTTGAATTGAAAGAGGTGAATGAGGATTGAAAACAAACAGACAAGTTAAATTCAGGACTGACGCAAAGCTTGACATCAAGCTAATTTTCGGCTATTTACACTGACGAGCAGAACTGTGATGAGCGTGTTCACACATTATTTGTAGCTTGTGCTCTATCGGCATGTCACAAGCATGAACTATTAATGTTAGACAGACTTCTGCAGACTTCAATAGGGAGCGATGAAAGAAGAGAAGAATGCTGCATGTTTGTGAGCAAAAAAAGCAATGCTGTTGTTTAAAGGAACATAAAAAGGCTTGCAATAGATTGATAATACAGTAATACCTGTTATGTTGAATGACGGAATGTATTGAAGGAGTTTTGTAGGCTTCAGGGACACATACAATTAGCTTTGGAGAGGAACATTTAGTGTGAACAAAACTGTGTATGTTCACCATGAAAATATATATAAATACGATAAATCTCAAATATGTTACGCAACATCTTTACTGACTGTAATTTAAATTGTTTTTGAATGCTGCTTTATTAAACCATGAGCGACTAAATTTGGATTAATTGATGCTAAATATTCACTTAAAATGTGCATTACTTATCCAGGATTTGTCAGAAATGTACAGACACCCTTAGATTGTTTTCTTTTCCTCTAGCAGACCTGCTCTTTCCACCTCTATTGGCTGCATAGTGGCGACATTTTCTGTTGCTTTAGGCTGTTTGCTCTGTTGTTTTATAACCAAGAACCTCTTTGCTTCTCTCCGCAAGAACACAGGGACAGGAATGCCCCCAGCTCTCGCTGTTCACCTGTGAAAGCCCAACGAGGACTTGCAGCACAGCGAAACACAGGGGCCTCGCCATCGCTGGGAAAACAACAGCTTCATTTCGAATTTATCACACATCTGCTCCTGTAATGAACGCTTGTAGCTATTTGGCAAAGATGTACCAAAGCAAATAGTTCGAAAACCTTTTAGGGCCTGTTTACGTGCTATTAAATTCCCACAATATCTCAGCCACATTGATCCATTGTTTCAGGATACCTAAAAAACATTCATCACTGCAAACAAGCTGACATAAAGAAAACACTAAATCACAAAATGGACAAAAGGATAAAGGGAGGCGGTATTTGGTTCAGATAAATATGTTTCTGTTTGTGAGCGTGTGTTGTTACTTGTAGAGGACGGGTCGGTCCTGTAAGGCCTCCATGGCTTGAGTCAACACAGGGCTGATATCACACGTCTCCTGGGTCAGTCCTCTGCATTCATCTATGCGGGAAATAGAAAAAATAAGACAAGACATGTATCTAAAGCAGTATCACCCAACTGATTGAAGGGTCTAGTGTTGTTCTCCGCTCACTGCTGCTAAATGTTTTGGACCACGATAACCGTGTTGGCGACAAGCGAATCAAAGCACCAAGGATGTTTTTCAAATCACATTTTCCCATGAGCTTTCACCAAGAAGTCGGTCAGTTTGCTTATGTTTCGTACAATACAAACAGTGGATACACAGAGGCCAATCTTCCAGACAGCGGCGGGAAAAAAAGGATAAACACACTCAGCTGTTGTCGATCCCACCTAATGCTAGAAATAAATGTCTACTTTGAAACATGTGCAGTACTATTTCTATTTTTTTTTGTGTTAAATGTAGTTGTCCCTTTTAAACAACTGCCAAATTCATAAACTATAGACCCTTCGCAATGTACATTAACTTTCACTACATGAAAAGAAAATTACCAAACACTATAAACTACAACTCTTCTATTTTTCCATGACCAAACTTTCACTTGATCATTTCTGGACTTCTGGGCAAATCTAAACTACAGCTAAACAAGTGTCTGGAGAGCAACTCGTATTTTAGTAAATGGTTTCAGAGTTTGTTATTTCACAATTACACAAATGAGGTTTCTGTGATCTAAATGGTTTACTTCCATTTTGATTTCAACGACAAAAGCCATGTCTAAAGCTGGGGAAAGGTTTTGTTTTCCGGCATTCTTTTGGCAAAAACAGTCAGAGGATATGAGTCACACGTGTCCTTAAATGTGTCCTATACACGCGATTACTCTCACTTGAAATAACAAAGCTTTGTAGTTAAATAAATAAGAATTAAAACAACTAACAAATCATCACCAGAGACGAGACGAGAAACTGACTCAGAGCCCTCGCGAGGAAAGCACATTTTTCATTAATTTTGACAATATGCTTTGTCCAGAGAGACTCACGGTGGGTCCTCTGTGTACTCGTGATTGCGAATCTGTGTACAGTACTCACTCTGAGCCCAGCGGTAGAGCTGCTCGTATGATGTCTCCTGTAACACTGCCATCTGCTCCATGATCTCTAACCTGAAACAGGCGCACAAGCCAGGACCACCACATTACATACTCATGACCTGCAGAATAGCGTCAGACGAATACTAAACCTGGATGTTATTTTCCGTTTGTCTCTACAACCTTTGAGGTTCATTTTAAATGCCATGAATTTAGGAAAGAGAATTAAAATAACTGCAAGAGAGACTCTCCCACTTTCACTGGAACACTCACCCTGCAGTTTGCTGGTTGGTTCGCAGGAGGATTTTTACGTCCTCGTGGATGTGCTTCACCCGGCTGAGGGCTTTGAAGAAATCCTGAGAAATTTAACAACACACAAATTAACATATTAGGTACAACACGGGTACCAGAATTGCACAAGTCAATGTACCTTTTTTTGTTTGGCAAACCACAGATTTCATAAGAATGTATTGAGGCATGACCAAAAACAGCATTTCTAGCAATTCATACGATCCGGCAGATCGATTTGAAGCTGACAGAGGTGTGTCACTCTACCTCCAAATTTCTCATCGTAACCATCCAAAAAGTTTAAAGATTATTAATGTGTGTTTTTGCATATTTAGAAATGTATATTAAAGTCATTGGAATGATAGCTACTATTATTACTTCTGCCTCAACATTTTAATTAATGGACTTAACTACAGATTTACAAAGACCAGAAAGACAAGTATGGAAACAAATGAAAAATGTAAGTAGTAAAATATCTGTACCATGTGGAGTCACAACATGTGGCACAAGTTATACCATGTATATCTGTGTTTGTGTCCAATAAAGGCCTTGAATCCTTGAAGCTGATTCCAGGTTTTTTTCAATTTTTGTACAAAAGCAAATTAAATAAAATCAAAGAAATTTGGGGTGCCGCTATAGGTCACCTGGTTGAGCTGGCCTCCTATATACAGGGGCTATAGCCCCCGACGCAGCGGTTGTGGGTTCGAATCCCGCTCATGACCCCTTGCTGCAGGTCTTTCCCCCATTCTCCTCCCCCCAACTTTCCTGTCTCCCTCTCTCTGTCCTATCCAACAAAGCCGAACAAGGCCAAAAAAAATCTTTAAAAAATCAAAGAAATTCTTTTGTTTTTTCTGTTTTGTGATTTACACCTTAATAACTCTCTCCTTCTAGTCATGGTTGTGCTGTTTCCATGGAGGTGCCGGACTTTATAATGTGGTAAAAAATGTACCCAGAAACGGCTTCAGAGGAGATAATACCCACATCTAACAGCACATTAAATGTAACAGAAGCTGTGGTTGAAGCGCAATCACTGAGGATTTCAGAAAACTCAAGATAAATGATACTTATTGATCAGAAAAGCAATTATCTGTACTTGATACCGCATCCTCCCATTCTGTGGGTACCAATGGGAGGATTCTTCACATGACTTAATTCGCTATTATACGTGGGAATAGAGATTACCTCAGAAATGGGAGCATCCCGAGCCCCTCGCAGGGTGGCCATCTCCTCATTAGATAGCTGGAACTTGGCGAGAAAAGCCTGCGCGACCTGAGCCCTCACCTCCAGGCGCTGACTGAAGGGAAAGAGATAAATAATAATTAACACAGCTTCTACGGAATAGTTTTCTTCTCTCTGTGCGTTTTTATTCAGCTGGGCATTTTTCTTGTCATCGTGATTCGTTCTATCTTGGAAAACCCTTGTGGATCTTTATCTGAGAAAAAGTACATTTTCTTCAGTCTTTCATCTTCGAGTTTTATCACCGTATTTCATCATTCGGCTCGTGCTGCTGTGAAAATAAAAAAAAAAGTCTGGAGCATTATATGGTTTCTTTTAACGAAAAAGAAAAAACAAAACCCAGTGCACGCTGTCAACAAGATGCAATGTTCAAATATCTACAGCAGATGGCAATCACACTCCTCACACACACACATCGGCTCACGCGGTGAGCTGAGAACGAGGGTGGGACACAGGGTGAAGATATCATGTGCTGCAGTAAGAAAATTAATATCAGAGGACGACAAGAGAGACAAAAAAGAACACAGCGCCCGGATACTGGCCAGGTTTTGTCACTATCAATAACAGCCGAGCGATCATTATCTGTGTCACTGTAAGTGTCTCAGCACAATAGTGACCATGGCAACCGCCCCAGTCAAACAGGGAACTCTGTCACGGGATAGCAGAACAACAGCGAGTCCTCCCTCCGTTCCCTTCATTCCATCCGAAACCACCTCGTCTATATTCTCTTCCTCATGGCGAAGGCGAGGCAGGATCAGTAAATCACCAGGTTATTTTGGTGGAGCGGAGGAACCCAACATTACACAACCATTGTCTCTCACATGGCTATTACCAGTGCTCAGCCAGCTGAAAGTAAGGGGTTGTAAAACTGTTACAGGAGCCTATGATTCAGTATTTCTCTGCCTCACACACACACAATAACAGGACCTTAAGGTTTCTTTGCCCTTTGTGATTCCGTGTGTTGCGATTTTCCTCCTTCGCACAAAAGATGACAGATGCACAGAAAGGCTCGGGGAGTACACTTTAAAAGACGACTTCATTCCGGCTACATCACCGAAACGACAACAATAACAAAATGTTTTCATTCTGGAGAGACGCCTGCAACTGCCCAACCCCGCACATGTGTAAAAACTGCACAAAAAAAATAAAACACAGAGGAAAAAATTGAATCAGAATTGATCGGAGTCAAAGCATCATCGAGGAAACACAAATTAAAACAAGAGGCCCTGATATCCCGCCATGATTACAGCGTCATATAGACAATAACACAGTATGCTAATGAGGTCATTAATTAAACTGAGTGATGAATAAAATAAAGAAACCATTTCCGTGTCAACATGCTTGTCTTCAAACAATACACGAGCAATATTAATACCGAATCTGCAAACCCTTGTCGAGCCGAGGAGCTATCGCTGTCTCAAGAAAAGCAATTTTATCACAAATATGCAAATTTATGCAGCAAGCATTTACCAACAACTAATTGAATCATCTGTTCCATAGTCTAGAATAAACATGGAATTTGCATCATTAAAGGTTGTTGAGTTATTATCTTCACAAGAGGAGAAAAGAAGAAGAAGAAAAAAAAGGAAACGCACAACATGGCATCTGGGACAAGCAAACAATGAAAAAAAAAAAAAACTCATTAGCAAGTTATGGAGAGAAAACAAGGAAACTTCCATGTTTATTGTCACTCATCTTGCAACAGTGTTCTTATGGGTAAACCACTAAGTGTGTAATTTACTCAGTTGCACACGTCAAATACAATCTGGCCTAATGCGTTTCATTTTAGGGCAGCGCTCGTTCCCGGTTGTTCCACTTCCGTAATTTATTTTCTGTGTATGGACATGTTTCGACTTCGCCGACCTGGGAGCAAGCGGCAGAGAAAGCCTTCGCTCGCACGTCGAACTCGCAACGGATTCACCTCTAGGAGAGCAGAAAAATGCCCCCCTATTTCTCACATCCAGGCCAAGAGTGACAGACCTGTTCCTCCAGGATATAAATCACAACAAAGAGACAGGCTGCACACGCCTGTACAAGGTGAGGAGAGGGGGATTGTGGGAGCTCCCTTGCAGAACAAGCGAGAGCAACAGCAACGGTGGAACAGCAGGATCATTTTCTACAGCGCTGTCAGGACATGACACATTCTTCTCCAGACTGCAATCACTGAATACCAGAGAGAGAGAGAGAGAGAGAGGCAACACACTCGAGCGAATGTGCAACGTCACAGCGTAAAAGGCGAAGCGTGGAGACTGTGGACTCGTGGTTCAGAGGAAGTCAATGATGTAAGATTTTCTTGAACCATGCCTGCAAAGTGCAAAAGTTAATTTAGATCCAGGGTTATATGATGGGGTGAAAACAAGTCACCGAGTGCGTTAACGGTCTGTTTCTTAGCGTGTGTGTGCTCAGATTTCTCAAGTAGCTCAATTGATTTTGTCTGTTCAAGCACAGAAATCGTTTAAGCAATATAACACAGCACAAGCTCATAAACAGCTCTGTCAAAGTGAAACACTGAAATTACCAGTGCCTACTTAATTACCTCGCAGAGCCAAGCTGATAAATCAGCACCAACTTTATAAAAACTGAAAGCTTTATTACAGAGAAGCATCTACCGACCTCGCTTGCTTTTAAACAAAGTGACTTAAATACTTGTACTGGAAGACTGTACAGGACTTTTTTTTTCTTCTTCTTTTGTTTCCATTTTGACTGATACAGAAGGAATGGCAGGCGACTGCCCCAAACATTCAAATGTCCCATCGTCTTAGGAGTTGTAAACCATGTGGGTCGATTATCCATTAGAATCTATCAGGGGGCCCTTTCAAAGAACTGCATGGAGATTTGGCATTCACAAAGCTGCTGGTTAGCCACGCGCCACTGATCACAGAGTGCATGCAGTTACATCAGACTGCACAAAAGGCATACTCACAGCCATATCCTCATTAGCCGCTAGCTGATAATGCTCGAGTGTCATTTTACACAGGTTGTCATTCACACTCCCTGATTGTTCTCTCAAGGGTTTCGGCACTCTTGATTTATTAATGACCTACACAGAAGTCCTCCTGAAATCATTTTTTTCCCCCCATAAAAAACAGTCTCAATGACGCGCCGGGGTCCGGGGCCGATGATTCATTACCTGCTGCATGACTTACTGTGGGAAATGTGTAGCCACCACAGATCAAATGCAGCTAAATCTTAGTTGTGGTTACTAAATTTATCTGAATTGCACTTTGGCAGGCAGCCAAGTAGGCCTACTATAGCTGCATGAGTGGTTCAGTAATAAGTGGAGGACTAGTCCAACAGTCCCTCCCCTTCAGCTCTCAACAGAAACATCCGTTAGTGAGATGTCTCGACCTGTTCAACATGATGTCATGTCACACTAATGCAAAGATTACACACATGAGAACAGGTGGGCTTCATTACGTTTCATTATGGAACGACACATAACACCAATTTAGTGCTGTTGCTGACAACATCTTTGAACAGAGGCAGCGCAACACAAAAGAACAGCCCGTCTGAAAGCCAGCGGACAAACACAGGTCGCCTGCACTCGGCGGCTCACCTCGTCTCCCTTTGCTTCGGCACACTGTAAGTAATCTGCTGCTACTTTCCGTTTCATTAGAGGTGACAAATGACACAGTGCCACTGGCAGATAAGACAACAAACAGTTGAGGACAGGCCTCCTCTGCCAGGTAAATACAAATCAGGAGCATCTGCAGAGCTTTGAAAAGCTCGGAGTGCACTCTCTCAGCAGAGCTGCCCTATAAACACAACTGGTGAGATTATGCTGCAAATGTCGCACTGCTATAATAAGTGTCAACGGGACAAAAACACCGAAAAAAAAAAAAGACAGTGGCTTGGGACTGCGGAGGCTTGTGTGACCTGAAATAGAGCTGAACAAGAAGACTGGAGTGGGGAGATGTGGTGGCCAAACTGGTGGGTGGCTGAAAGAGGACAGCTTGACTGCACACTTCCCCTGGCAGCTCTTCTGAGACAAAATCACTAAAGACAAGGTCAAAGCCCAGCGTGCACACACACCATCCAATCTGGCTGTGGGGTCATTGTGGTTCTGCGCATGAAAATGTCACACAGACGGACAGCAGGTCCCAGTGGGGCCGCTATGCAAAGAAAAAGACAAGGCAAGAGGGCCGCGCAGAAGGGCATTCAAGTAAAACCTCTGACCGCTTACCTTCAGCGAGACCCCCTTTCACAAAGCGATACATTGTTTTAATTCATTGCCTGCGTGCACTCACTGATGGCTTTATCCCCACTGGTGTCTTTCAGAATCAGAACTCATCTCCTTCCTCTTCAATCTCGCCGCTTCCTCTCCTATGTCACCTTTTACTCAAGGAGGTCCTGAAGCTCTGCCAGTGGAGCATGGAATTGCGGCTGTACATCACAGCTGTCAGCAATGTCTTTTGCCAGAAATCTACATTACGTGTACCCGTGGCCCTGCCTCCATGTCAACTCGCAAGGTCGCTAAGCACTGAGGTCACATCTGCCACAAATGCTAATGAACCCCACCCCAACCTCGAGCTGTCAGCGAACGCGAGCAGGTGTTTTATTTTCATATTGCCGTCAACACTCTGGTGGACAAATTCATACATTAATGATACCCAGATTAATTTTATTGAAAGCCTTTCAACCAAAAAATATCCGTATTCTAAGCGATGTGGATGGATGAGTACCCAAGATACACTCTGTGTCTGCACTTTGACTCGGTGTCATGATGAGCTGCATATTGAATCTGCATATCCGATGGCGCTTAATATGTGTTGTCAGCAAATCTTAGCGCACACGCTCACATACAAGAACGCACTCGTGAGCTGCTCTCCAGCTGTAATCGTCTGGCTTCAATAAGATCAGGGAGTAGTGCTGTGTAAACAGGAACTACTTTGATGTATATCTCAAGGCCAAACATCACAGGACAAGACTAATAAAATAAATAAAGTTCTATTAATGATGATTGCTGCCCTCCTTATGCAAATAGACAACTGCAGGAGAAATATTAACCGACCTCATGAATCATTTATCCCTCCTCATCAAAAATAAAGACATGCTTGCCAGGATCTCCTGCCCTGCGCTAAAACTCTTTCAGTTTGACAGATTAGAACTGCAGCCTTCAACTCTTAAGTGTTTTAACCTGAGGTGTCATATCTATTTGTGAAATATTTAAGATGATCAGTAAAGATTTTGTAAAACTACCTGGTTATAAATAAATGTGGAAATCCCCTTTGACAGATCACTGTTAGCCGCAAATCCTGGGAAACAAGGAAGTGCAAGCACATTCAGCCAAGTCTGTTCTTTCAAACAACATGTGAGCAATAAAAGCTTATCACTTTCAAAGTGGACCATGATATCCCTGCTGTGGAGTTTGACTCAAATGCTACTTGTCTGGGGAAACTTGCCTAAATGGAAACTTGCCTAAATGGAAACTTGTCTAAACGGTGTCTCATCTCTGTCAAAATGAGACTCTGGCGGGAGTGAAATGATGGTGTCTCGCTTTGGACTGATGAAGATGCCTATCAGTGATAAATGCGACACGTTTCCAAAAATGACTTTGCTTCAGAGAAGATAAGCGGAGAAAAAACGGTTTGAGATTTCTTTGAAATTTCTGCAGATAATTTTAAATAAATTGGCTACCCTATCTCCATGAGTTCCCTGACATTCTGAAATGTCAGTTTAAAGGCTGACAATGGCAGCCCCATCATGTGGTCCTATTTTATGTTTCAGTCAGAACTCGGTCGCAGTCACATCCTGATTAATTATCACCCAAACGCTTTCACGAGGGCAAACAATGCTGAGTACATTTGTTCAGTGTAATCCATAACAAGAGAACACCTCATATAAAAGGTTCACTGTGTATTATGTATACATGCAGTCAGTGCTGAAACTTGAATTTTGTCCGTCTTGTATATGAAGCAAAATATATTTTTTTTACAAGTATTATATTTTGTTAGGGCTGCAAGGTGGTGGGTGGTTAGCACCGTGGCCTCACAGCTAAAAGGTCGCCGGTTCACGTCCCAATGGGGACACCTGGGAACTTTCTGCATGGAGTTTGCATGTTCTTCCCGTGCAGCGTGGGTTCTCTCCGGCTTCCTCCCACACAGTCTAAAAACATGTTGAGGTTAATTGGTGATTCTAAATTGTCCGTAGGTGTGAATGTGAGTGTGCTTGGTTGTCTGTCTCTAAGTGTAGCCCTGTGATAGACTGGTGACCTGTCCAGGGTGTCTCCTGCCTTCACCCTGAGTCAGCTGGGATAGACTCTAGCCCCTCCGCGACCCTAGTGAGGATTAAGTGGTGTATAGATAATGAATGGATGGATGGATATTTTATTATCTATTGTACCTTAAATATTGCAAGTCAATACAAAAATACCAAACTGCAACTTCAAAAGTTACAGTAGAGCTGAATTAACTCCTGACTAATAGACTGCATGCTTCAGTTAAACAATTAAAACACTAAGTTTCTCATGGCTGCCAATAATTACCGTGCAAAATTAGATCATCCCGGACTTTCTACTTTTCTCCATGTTCATGTGAGTGCAGACCACCATTATATAACATATACCCTGGAATGTAAGATATATTTATTGTGGAAATCTCTATGACAATATAAAGACTGTCAGTCAGCAGAATCTCTGGACCACAGCTGCAAAGGTAACTGGATTTACTATTTTACTCTTAAGAGCATTTTCTCATTGATTCCTGACAGCTATCTTATATCATAAAAAATATAAATGTATATGCGAAGAAACAAGGTTAACTTCCACACACATAACATTTCACCCATTTAGAATCAACTTACTTTTCTCCCTGCAGCTTGTTGGTTTTCACGATGAGGTCTTGAGTTTGATCTTTCGCAGCCTGTAGAAGAGAAGTTACCGTGTTTTTAAAAGATGGTTTTAAACATTTAATTTTCAAAATAGCCTCAATAAATCACTTTAGTGAAGCGACACACATCATAATTGTTGAACAGCATACTAATATCAAGCTTACATGAATATATTACTCGTGAATGAATTCTGATGTTAAATAAATTATTGTACATGCAGAAGAATTTTCAAACGACACGTGGAGTTGATTACCTTTAATCTGCTTGTCATTTCTTCACAACACGTGCTCATTGCCTGGACATCCTCGTGGACACTTTCAAGCTCCTGTGGAGAATGTGAAATCACAATTACAACAGCACGGACGCAGACATAAACCTGTCTAAACAAACAAAATCTACGATGAGAGGTGCGACAGGCCGTGTGGAATTTATGGGAGCGTTGGTAAGTTTGATGTAATATTAATAACATTAATGAATACGTTTTTAAATAATAATGGCTCCGTGTACAGCCGGAACTTCATACATCATAATCAGTCGTGACAGAACATCTAGTAGCACACTAATAATGTGGAAACAAATATTTGCAAGCAGTCTGATGGAATCACAAGCCATCAGGTTCTCTACTACATGCTCTGGTGTTGTTAGGTCTGCTGTTGTTAGTTAGTTAGTGCAGTTTAAGTGGCGGGTAGCACCAATAAAAGGGGGAGGTGCGTCTGTAATCTACATACAGGGGAAACACAGGTTGAGATGTTGGTTCTGGCCGGTGGATTTAAGAAGGTTCACACCTAAATCCACACTAGCATGCAGTGGAATGTAATTAATGTATTTCTAACCTGTTTTTGTTTGGGGTAGAAGACCGCTAGCAGTCAGCAGGATGATAGTTCAACATACCATTTTCAAATTCAGTCATGTAGTTAAATAATATTACATTTGAATATTATTTTAATAAAAGGTTTTAAAGATTCTTAATACCTGCAAAACATTTCAGGTCCATTAGCTGCTCTTGCCGTGGAAATTGTTTTTTTCCTGCCCTAACAAGTGAGCTGATGGCAGGCACAAATACGTGGGCACTGCCTTCAGTGCAGACAAGTTTTCTTTGCTTTATTTATGCTTGTTTGTTTTTGTTTGTAATTTGCTTCGCGCACTAATTGCTGACGGTATCCCAGTCAAATCCCAGTCAGGGGAGGCTCATGAGGTGACTGGTAATTGCTGTGACAGAAATCACATGAGGAACTTTGGAGTTCTAATTTTGTAGGCAAGGTTTAAAGATTAGCATGTGCTGTTAGTAACAGCTGGTAGGTCAACGTGGAGTTTCTGTAATAAAGAACTTTTTACTTCTTACCCCCACCTTCATTGCTACCTTGGTTACCATTCCTTAGGCTAGTGAGTTGATGCTATACTCACACGCACATGTGAATTTTAAACTGCATTCAACGCTCCAAACTTTAAAATGCACATACTGAAAATAATTCTATCAATCTAGTAGGAAAAGATCAGGACCAATATGCATCACTTTGTAAAGTACAGTTTAAAGATGGACCAACAACAATCACTGTACAGATGCTTTGCCTTGTTATACTGAGACAGATCTGACTGTTGTTGGAGGGTAATAAACAGTATTTTAAAGCAAAACTGTGCATTACCTCTTTCACTTCTTTAAATATTCGTGCAAACTCCTCGTTGATGGTCAGACTACGCCTCTCTATGTCACCGCGAAGATTTCTCCTGGTGCGTAAACTGTTCTCGGTGAAGAACACTGACAGCGCCTTCAGAGCCTCCAGCATCTCCTGGAAGCACAAAGAGGACATCACAATGACAGGTAATGGAGGTGCTGCACGCAAACCATAGTAACCCACACTTGATATTACATATGAAATTGGAGCATCTTATGGTGGCCTATATTTCCATTTGCAGCATGCTTTCTTGTATCTATTGAGCGACAATATCGGGTTTTATCAGGGAAAAGTCTTTCTGATATGACACAAGATCAAACACTTGAATCTACACAGTGCACAATGAAGGACTGCAGCAACATGCTAACCGCTAACCAGCTAAATATTTCATCGACATTATCACCGTGTTCTCGCACAGCCAACTCTGTTCACTTGTCAGCTCCAAATGATTACTTCTCGGAGTGTTACAGTGCTGCAATTATAATATTACACAGCTGGAACGCGATTTACAGCTTCCAGGTTTAGCCATCGCTAGCCTGCTAGCATCAAGCTAACCTCCTTTAGCTTACCTTGTCGTTGTCAAGTCTCGTGTCCAGTATTTTGTTAAGTTTCCTTGACAGCGGGTTATTGGGCTGAGAAGACGCATTTGAATTCTGCATTACATTGGAGCTGTCAGCCGAAAGTTCTACTTTTGTATCAGCCATTGTGCACAAATAGGCTTCCACGTCAACTTTCGGAAAGATGTTTTGGTCCGTTTGAAATTAACGTCCGGGCGGAGTCTATACTCGCGGAGGAAAACGACACATGGTTCCGCCAAGTGGTTAATCATTTCTCTTTATGGAAGGTGTTGTTTTTATTGAATGGGAGGGAGCCATGGATGATTATGGTGATTATAGTAATGACATTACAAAACTGTAACATTTCTTTCCCTCTTTTGGCTCCTAATTTCTTAAAACTACCACAAAGACTATAAAAAAAGAGAGTCGTTTGGATTTATTCTGTTTCTCTGAATAATATAAGGCTGGTAGGTCTTGACCTTTGTATGTGAAGTACCCTGAGATAACTTGTGTTGTGATGTGGAGCTATATAAATATCATTAAATGCAATTCAATTGAAAAGCATTGAGACTGTTCTATTTGGTTATTTTAAAGGTCTACTGTGTGTTCATACAAGTTACTAAATAACAAGAGTCCTGGAACATTTATGAGTTTACAGGACATGTGCTAAACAAGAGACACTTGTGGCTCAAGTTGCTCCTTTATTTCCACTTTACTGGGTCAAAAACTGTGTCTGATTAACTAACTAAAAAAAAACAAAAAAAAAAAGGATGAGAATCGAATTTAATGAGATCTCCATAAAGCTTTCCCAGAACAGACTGTAGTAACTTTCTCTATGTAGCTCTTCCTTCCCACACTCACACAGGAAATATTTAACGCTGATAACAGCGCTGCATTCAAGTGTTGTGGGAAATATGGGCCACTTAAATCATTCCAGCAGTAACACAGAGCCTGCTCTAATAATTCATCCATCCATTATTTATACACCGTTTAATCCTCACTAGGGTTGTGGGGGGCTGGAGTCTATCCCAGCTGACTCAGGGTGAAGGCAGGAGACACCCTGGACAGGTCACCAGTCTATCACAGGGCTACACTTAGAGACAGACAACCAAGCACACTCACATTCTCTAACAATTCATGATAAACTAATCAAAATAAGCAAACAAGTAACAACATCTATGAATCACATGAAGCTGTATTTTCCATCTGCACCTGTTTTACCACTTCAGACTTGAAATCTCAGCACAGTAGCAGCAGGCAGTTTTAATGTGGTGCTTTAGTTCGACACAAACAATGTGGTGGGATGATCCTGTGGTTAGTTTGATGGTTTCACACAGAGCTCAGTAACCTGTATTGCTATGAATATCCTGCCGGAGCATTATAGACAAACAACAATCCCACTGACGGTCCACACTTAAATTGTGGGTTTAATAAGAAAATGACATCAGATTAACTATATTTTTAAAAAAAGAAAGAAAGAAAGAAAGAAAAAGAGAAAAGAAAAAAATGACAAACTATTTAAAAGTGTTTTTAACTCATCATTTAAACTTGTCGTAAATTAAGAATATGACAGCTAAATTACAAATACACATATTAAAATAGGTTTTTGGATCATTAAACTTCAGTTTATGTATTGCAAAACCAAAATCAAGTTATATATTTAACCCTGAAACACCATGCATAGTTGTCAGTTAAAGCAAGCTAATACATTTCCCTAAACACTGTATTGCTGTGAATTGCAAATATTCAACCATTTTCTGACCATTTCTTATTTTTCTTACAGTTCTGGCATCTTCTGTTCCTTCAGCTTTTGCGCACAACAACACCTCGTCCTATTTCACGTTGCCAGGTTGTCCAGTTAATTAGCATTTTGCGCAGGGCTTTGTGTAGGCGGCATACGTGTTAATACACTGGGGTACGCACAGTGATTAAAGCATTTGATTGTGCACAGCTGAGAATCAACACATCCTGTAATTGTGGCTATTTGTTGAGTGTACAAAACAAATTGAATCCAAAATATGTCGTATGATTTCCAGTGAAGATGTGCATTACAAATGCAGAAAACTTGCACAGATAGATGCATGATCATGAACCATGAAAATGCAAAAATACTTCCATTATAAACACCTAATTCTTGTGAAATAAACTAATTAATATTTTGTAAGCTTGTGGCATATAGAAGATTTTTATCTGATATCTTAAAATTTAAAAAATACATAGAAAAGAGTCTAAAATGACTTGAAATGATGAAGAGGTTCATTCAAATTTGAGGCAATCTAATGACTTAAAGCATTACATTCAAGTTACTGCATCAGGACTCTTAAGGATTTACTACATCCTTATTTTCTTTATTTGTTTTATTCCCTTTTTTTGCACTGCTTGGAATTTTAATTTGTTTATTTCTGCTATTTCTATATCTCTCTCTATATATATATACATTCATATATATATATTTTTACTTCTCATGTGTTTTATTCTTTATTCTTATTTATCTCATTATGATTGTTTCTGTGTTGAACAGGTACACAACGCATTTCACTGCGCGTTATGCCATGCATAACTGTGTTTGTGACCAATAAAAGACTGTGAACCCTTGAAAAACCTTAATAGCTAGATCACCTTTTTTGGGCGACACGGTGAGTTCTCAGTTATCCGAGGCGTCCATGAACGCAGCGGCAGCTTGTAGAAATGATAGTAGCTGTGAGTCCAGCCCCTGGGTGGGGATTTGCGTGATTGATGGTCACCTCCCGAGAGTGCTTCACGGACTCTCCTCCTCCCCGCCTCTCCACAGTCTCTCTCTCTCTCTCTCTCTGAGCAGGAATGTGGAAACAGGAGTCCAGTCAGTCAGAGCTGCACGTTTCTGCGCCGCACCGGAGTGAATAATTGATCATCGCCTCGCTTAAATGCATTGATGAAGAGGAAGTGATTTGCGAGCGGATCCTGCAGTCACTTTTTGGGGGATTTTTTTCTTTCTTTTTTTTTTTTTATTATTACATTCTCAGGTCGAAGGTATTGCTTTTTTTTTTTTTTTGACTCTCTCTTTTCCTCGACTGAAGGAAAAAGTTTGCATTGAGAGCCAACGCAGCTGGAGTCCGCAGATGGAAAAAGCCTCTGAGTGCACACCGAGCGCACCTCTCCCAACATGTAAGCTTCACCCTCTTGCCTTCTCTGCGCTTCTTTGCCTTGTTTTCCATTATTTTCATTCCGACAGTGTAGCATTGCGATAATAGGCTGTAGTGCGCTCCTTGAGGTCACCCCTACCGAAAAAAAAAAAGAAAAAGAAATCCCTGTATGGTCCTGAAGTGGCTGCTCCTGCAGGGACTCGGTGTGTTTCCTCTGTTTCCACTGGTTTTGTGGCTGATTCACACTCAGTTAACATGTCAGAGAATCTTTTTTTTTGCATTGCTCTCTGTGTGTGTCATTTCAAAGTTAATTATGTGGATGATAGGGCTGTTGTTTCTGCAGAGGAGTTAACATTTTCATTACTATAAAATGAAATTCTCAGCAACTATCCTCAATTACAACTAATTGTTCCACTAACAGGGCCACCTAATGGGAATGGTTATTATGCATATCCAGTGCTGCCTCAAGCGTGCTTAATTCTGTGAACTAATAACTGTGATTTCTCTCTCTTTTTTTTTTGTTATTGCTCAACATTTCTACATCACAATGAAGAGAAAAGCCTTGAAAAGTATGGAAGATAGAGAATAATAGTTGCTCCTTAAACTTAAATTGATTGTTTACTGGCCTTGGTTTGTGGTTACAATTAATATTTGTTCACAGTGTAATTACACTGAATCTCTTTTGAAGCATCATTCAGAACCATTTTCTTCAGAAAAACAAAGCTGACTAATCAATAATCTTCCCCAAAAGTTGATGAAGCCGTACTTGACTGATCATGTTATCACTGCTGATGCTTCTTTCTTTCGTGCCTGTTTTCACATCTGTGGTTCTTGCTATTGTTTTTGTGTGTGTGTGTGTGTGAGTGTTAATCATGCATTTATAATGACAGGGGAACAGATTCCTTGTTTTCAACCCAGCAAACTGAGATTCTTCCTGTCATTTCAAAAGCCAACAACTTGTTTGCACAGATGATTTGTGTGTTAGTGCTCAGTCTGGATGTTTCTCTTCTTCCTGGCAGGGACCCGGAGTCACTGAGAAGGTGAAGACTGTTCGCGTTAAATGCTCACCGCGAGGCTTCCTGCAACACAGCAACTGCTCGTATAACTGCTGTTAGTTCGGTGACTGTGTGAACCGTTTTCCCAGACTGTTAACTATGGCGTCCAGTCTGACATGTACGGGTGTCATCTGGGCCCTGCTGTCCCTGCTGTGCGCCGCTGCTTCCTGCGTTGGCTTCTTCATGCCCTATTGGCTGCTGGGAACGCAGATGGACAAGCCAGTGTCCTTTGGCACGTTTCGCCGCTGCTCCTACCCGGTGAGGGACGAGGAGAGGCAGGCCACGGTGATGCTGGAGCAGTGTGGGCGGTACGCCTCCTTCCACGGCATCCCGAGTCTGGAGTGGAGGATCTGCACCGTGGTGACGGGCGTGGGATGCGGCCTCCTCCTGCTGGTGGCGCTCACGGCTCTCATGGGCTGCTGCATCTCTGACCTCATCTCGCGCACTATTGGTCGCGTGGCCGGCGGCATCCAGTTCGTCGGAGGTGAGTAGCTACGTGATGTTTTGCTCTGTGGTCAACCCCCGAAACCAACTTCTGAAAGTGGTGCTTCTGTTTTGACTGAGCGTGTGCAGCGCCGAGGCTCTGATCGCAATTCCAGAAAGATCTGGGAGTTAGCAGTCAGATCACTCGTTCATTATGGTTTGCCTTTCATTCACAGACTGCAGATTCTCTATAACTCTGGAGATATGGATGTTTAAAAAGATTATGGGGGGATTTAATAGCTGTAATCATCCTCTCATCAAATTTGTTCACTGAAACAAGACATGGAACAAAATCACACTGCTGAGAAAACAAGGAGGCGCAGAAATCTTGACACTTCTCTTGGCCGACAAACCTGCCGCCAGCGCCGGACAGCCTCAGATACTCTGGTGCACAGGAAATGAAAAGTCTCCCAGTGAGATACTGGCGCCCGCCTAATGAAGTCGGGTCATTTTTACATTGTTCACTGTAAAGTTTAACAGCAACATTCACTCTTTTGCTTATTGCTGTATAGAACTGGATTGATTTTTTATAAGAAGGTTTTAAAAAGTGGCACATAACAAACTGGATTGTTAATTTCACATAAAGTGTGTTGGTGCATGAGGTGTTTGTCAACATTATGTGCTCATTGTGTGAATGGGTTCTGGCTGTGTGCAGCTACGGTCTCATTTGAGAGCTCGGAATGGGCTCGCGTATTGTAAATATAGTGGAACGTATAATTTGATGAAGGGAAAAAAAAGAAAAATCTTCAGAGCTTGGCTGAGTTTTATAATACTTGCCTGTGTTTTACTCGGACCAATCATTTTCCTTACGCTCCCTCTTGCATGCAGCAGATGTTTGGCATCAATTCAAATCTTTTGTTTGTACTTTGACTGCTGAAATGATGGAAAATCATTTGTGCTGTAAACATGCCCAAAATATGTCAGTGCGACTTTCTGCTTGGCGTTTGATACAGAATTCACCCTGTAGTTTCAAAGAATCCCACTGCCTTTTGTCTTTTGATAAAACAGAGCCCTGTCAGTGCTGCAACCTCGCCGCCACCACCACCACCACCCCCCGAAAACGCCCTTTTATTTGTTTGTTTGCTTACAGTAAGTGGACACAGCTCTGCACAGCAGCTTTTGTTTATGTGTCCTGTTAGTTTTCGCACATGTGCATCTCTCGGGACGTGAGGTCTGAGGGAAGACTTCCATTGAAGCTGCAAATTTCTCTGCCCTAGTTTAAGAAGCTGCGGCGCTCCAGCCCTCTCATTAACTGAAAAACATTCGCTCGCATACTGTGGCTCACCACTCGGCTGTTTACAATCCCCCCCCCACCCCATCACTCCAGTTTGGCTTTAAAAAGTGATGTGACAGAGAAGCAGGTTGCAGGCAGATTTGACGGAGCTGCCAGGTTTTTCCGAAGGATAAATCTACAGAGGACCACCACAACGCGCCATGTCCTAATTCTAAAAGGCTTAGCTACTTACGAACATCGGTATTAATGATGTATAATATGGGGGATGATTAAGGTGAAGGCTGGCTGGTTTATTCAGAAATGTGCACTTTTATGTAAGGAAAGCCTCCTTTTAAGCTCACAGCAGCAGCAGCAGCAGCAGCAGCAACCCCATACATACAGCGTTACAGCAAGCTGCTATTTTTGGTTATAGGATTAAAAAATTCCTGTCTGTCTTTCTTGCGATTTTTCTCTTTTCTTGGACTCACAAATCCAGACACGCATGACTTTAGATGGTGGGACAGTGAAGGAGGGCAGCGAACAACACAAAGGACGCCGCTCAGATCTTTTTAACTTGAACGCTGGTGAGCCAAAAGGGCAGAGATGTCTAAGGAGGGCTAATTGGAAGTGACACGACTGGGAAGCTCAGTGGGCTGTTCCTTGTTTTGTCTTCTAACACTTTGAAAAAGCGTGTCGAAATATCGAGGAAGGCAGAGGAAGTTGAGAAAGAGAGAGAGAGAGAGAAAATACCTGATGAGAGAAACAATCAGCATTCACGTCTTATTAACCGAGCGGCTTGCTGAGAAATAAAGATGTGCTGCGGAACGACTTGAACGGGTGCTGAGGAGTGTGATCACATCTCGGTAATTAGCAGGAACAGGGAGAGGAAGTCGACGCGGCGATAGCGAGGTGAGCCTCACGGTTCAACGTCTGCTCTCGGTGTCGTCCTCCTTTTGTGTTTCCTGCGATCCTATTGTGGGCCACTAATGAAGAGCATCTTGCCAGCGAGGCCAGGGCCTCTGGGCCGCCACAAGTAAAACATCCACTTCACATCGTCCTGTAATTTATCTCACTCCCACCAAACAGATCAGAGCTGAAAGGTTTTATCAGCGCTTTATCTCGTTAGCCGCAACCCCCCCGACAGAAAGGACTTTTAACAATAACTATTATTGTTGCTCGTGTTGTTGTTTACCTCTTGTAATGCTGTTTTCTTCCCAATTCACTAAAGGCAAGGTTGTTCCAGAGCTTGTTAATTGCTAATGGCACAGACCCAGATTTCCTCCAGGACAGAGAGTCTCGGTTTGAGAGCATGAGCGTGTTCTGGCTCAATAATCAAAGGTCTGAGAGCTGCAGACTTGCATGAAACAACTGCCTTCGCTGGAGTTTCTCGTGTTCGTTATGCAGCGGTGCGGACTCTAAACGACTGTTGCACAGATGAGAGGCTCAGACGTTAAAAGATTCTTGACTTGGATTTGGTTGTTAGGGATTTTGTGTCTCCCCCCTGCTGAGCGTTGCCTTGTCTTTTTGGGTGCCTCAAGCAGAGATGCACACAGCGGGAGGAAAGCTATTTAATGTTTGTTTTCAACATCCATGCTTTAAGCGCTCCTTGTACCTTTTTTTTTTTTTCTATACCTCGCATTTAGCCTCAGCACAATAACCTTCATTTAAACTGTGCTTTTGTTTCCAAACTGTGATTGGATAACTAATCTGCTCCGTCAGCATTTAGATATTAGGGAGAGTGATGGGAGCCTGGGGCCAGGTCGGTTTCTAATGAGCTTTTTTCCTAATGAGATGCTCCATTCCCTGTTTAATACTTCTGATTGGCAGGGCTTTAAAAAACTGACACCTGATTTTCTCACTGGATGTTTTCGGAAAGTCTCCGGGATATCTCGCAAAGACGAAATCGCTGCGGTGGAGTCGGGGGTTTGAGAAACAAGACTACATCACTCCCATGAGCTGAGAAGGAGACAATGAGGACTCGATGTCACTTCTGAAAGAGAGAGTGGCTGGGAAATGCAGATTGCAGTGGCCAGAGATAAATTATAAAGGCCCCTTAAGATAGCTATAACTAGACCGTGCTCTGTTTGATGCTCTCATTATATATATTTTATGGCAGAGATAAAACTATCCCATAACCTTGAATCTGCTAACATCAGGTTTTTGCTTTTTTTTTTTTTCTTTGTGATGGATTTTCTTGCGCTCTCATTGAAAGTGTTGCTTATTGTTCTCCAACCCTGCCTTATGTGTCACCGTCACGCTACAAAAGTGCTGCAGGGTCCAAACTGAAGAATATGTTTCAAATCTGCAGATGTCTGAAAGTTCTCTATCCCCCCCGGCTCAAGGCTTTCCCTCGGACCAGATTGAACTTTGAGATTTCAGCGACCGCCATGTGCTCCGAATTGGCCCCCGACGTCAAGGATTTTGTCTCAGATCTCTTGTCTGAGACGGTTTAATTCAGGCATTGTGTGACTGGCTTTAAGGGATTAATAGGCTTGTGATATAGCCAGATGCCAAACCCGTCTATAGCTTAAAAACTAAAACCTCAAAATCAAGTTGAAACCGGGAGGAAAACATTGCAAAGATGCCAATAAGTAGAGCGATGTGACCCAGTTTTCATCACACCTGATGGAAAAAAAAATCACAGCTTTCTGGTTTCCAAAATAACAAAGCGCTAATTAGTGTTTTTGTTGTTTTGCAAAATAAGAGAAGATAAAGGGAAGATGTTTCTGAAAGAAGAGACAAGTTTGAGAAAAGGCTTTGTTGTAGAATAAAATGCTAGAAAATGTGAAGACAGAGAATATTGTTTTGGGAATCCGCTTTAAAACATCGCTGAGGTCAAGAGATAGTTTGTTGATGTCCATTTAATAACCGGATTTGCAAATGAGGACCCAGTTTGTCACCAAAACAAAAAAAACCCCTTCTGGTGTTTTTTGATCCAAAAAACCAGCTTTGATTTGCACCATTGAACTTTAGCAGTCACATTAGGAGAGGCAGTGATGAATTATTGTTCCAAACCACCGTGCCCAAAACCTCTCCAAATATTGCCTTGACCTGTGGAGAATGTCAGCGGGATTGAAATCATTTAAACTCTTGATAAAAATGTCAGGAGATATAGCTGCTCAAGGCTGGAGGGTGTAAGCTATATTTTACCGAGGAAAGTGTTGAACTGCTGAGTCCTTAAAGCTCAAGGTGAAATAACAAGACAAACAATGCGATGCGTGACGGGCTGCACTTGTCCTTTTTCGCAGGGAGTTTTTGCCGGGACGGTGTGTAGGATACAAGACTTCATGCGAGCTTCTGCTGTTTCAAGAGGAGGTGCAGACCCGTGAGGCGTAACATCCCCCAGGGATGTGAAACAAGTTTGAAATAGCTCAACGCAGCATTTTCACTGCGATAAGGGAACGTTGTGGTCAGCAAGGAATCCATAGTCTAATTTTGCAAAAGTACAGAGCGCTCTTCGCAGTTTTTGCAAGAAAACCCAATGTCATCACTGAGGGAGGGGCTAAAAGCATTCATTATTGATTCGAGACATTTAATGTCTTTTACATTAAATATTAGCTCTGGGTTCTGACAGTTCTTTGATGAAATGAGATCATAAAAATGTGAGTTTTCACATGCCTCTCTGCTTTGTGCTCCCCTGTGAGGTCTCTCCAGAGCTGGATGACAAACTTGTAATTTATTTGACATGTATTTATCTTCTGACCGCTTATTCCGAGCGTGGATTTTTTTATTTCTTCAAAGTAGAATTAAAGAATCAGCTTCAAATGGACTACAAGTACAAACTGAAT